GAACGTGCTGGATATACAAAATTGGGCGCTTATCAAATGTCTTATCGCTCGAATGATCGTGTTATTATTGTTTCACAAAGATTATCTGATTTATTATTTAAACGTTTATCTGCTTACTTTCCTGATTCTATTAATCATGATGGTAGTATATGGGAACCTATTGGCTTGAACGAAGTATTTCGATTTTGTCGCTACGATCGTGGTGGAACTTTTGATGCACATCGTGATGCATACTTTGCTAGATCAGTGAATGAACGAAGTTTTATGACAATTAACATTTATTTGAATGATACTGATGGTGGTTGTACACGTTTTTTAAATCCAACAGGAAAAAAAATTATTTTTCAATGTCAACCACAAGCTGGAAAAGCACTCGTCTTTCTACATGATGAATATCATGATGGCGATGTTTTACGATTGGGTTCTAAATATCTTATGAGAACTGATTTAATATATCGATTGAAGTCCGAGATTAATCAACAAGAATATTGCCTGAATGATAAACATATTCAAGCAAAGCAAATATATATACAAACGAAAGAGCGTGAAAACAAAGACAGTTCAGCAAAGACGCTCAATGTTCAAAGAAAACCATGGTCATGTAGTCTACAATAAATAAAGAAAACTACTTGAAAGTGAGATGTGAGCTCGATGTTTTGATAAAAAGAAGGCACACATCCTCATTCTTCAAAATACTTTCCTAAATATTCAATCTACTCAATGATAAATTGGAACATTTGGACATTTTTCGAATAATCGAAAAAGAAATATCTGATAGAGAGTGATGAAATATATCTTTATTCTATTTCATTCTATATGATACACTAATCGATATATTATAACAGAGTGTAAACATATTATAATAATAAATGTCTCAGATCTTGTCACTCTTCTTATTCTAAGATACAACTTAATTTTTAGGCTCTTTGTCGCTGAATTTTATTGAATAAGAATAATCGGAAGGTTAACAATGTATAAGGGCGTACTCAATGCAAGGGAGAAATGACGTACTCCGTTACTGCCATTGTACTCTCTGGGCTCCGAGAGTACACGAGAGTACAAGGAGTCCAAGAGATACAATTTTTATATATGGTATCGTATGATGTGAAATGTGTATTCCTTACTGACTTTGTATTGTAGAGTGTTCTTGTGATGTACGATTTCATAGAAAAGAAATTAAGTATCCTCTTTATACAATTGATAATTCTTTTTAATGACAAAATGGTCGACTCGACATATGAGTGTAACAGTAGATTCTCTATCGTTCTGTATATTTTTTAACAATTTTGTAGTTATATACCGAAAAAGAATCCAAGTATTACATCAACATACTCCTTGAGTAACTTTAAGAAGAAGTAGCTGTTTTACTACCTCCCTCAATTTTTGTTTCAAAAGTACAGAATGATAGAGAATTTCAAGCTCTATCAGAATCTATGATTACTTTTTTTAAAAAGACAATGCTATAGTGATAAAAAAATTAAAATAACTAATTTTGATGACACTGACAAGATCAAGTCTATGGAAATCTCGATATGAGAGTACCTTAGTTTCACTCAACTTATTTCGGTAATGAATTGGTCTAAACTAAAACCTAATTATATAGGACAATAGAAAATTCCACGGACTTTCAGAATATGTAATTACTTTTAAACATATGTGTTTTTATAGTGGAAATATATTCAAAATACAGACTCGAACTATTTTTTCGGGCGTATATATGTATAGATATGTATATATTGTGATGATTCATATCACGAAGTGGAAGAACAGAAAGAAAATAGAAAAAAAAAATATAGTAATAAAAATATTGTCACTATATGATAGGTTTAGTAGCGTTCGATGAGCTCTACAAGAATAGGAATATTTAAAAAAAAAACTTCTGATCCTGTTTCCACTACAAAACGTGAAGAAAATCTGGTATACATTGCACAGAAGAGTATGTTTAACTTTCAATAAAATTAGCTGATCAATTGATAGTTGATGTTTCGAGATCTAGTATGAGATGCTGACATCTTCGAGTTGCATGAACAGATGGAATAGTAGATCGACCAAAAAGACGTAGGTGAAGGTGGACAGAGTGATAAATAGAAGCGCTACAACTCCACCTTGATTCACATAGTAAGACATGGCAGGTCCATAGACACAAGCTAAAATTGATCAAAATGAAAGGAACTTCGTAGAGATGACGCAAATTCGTGGATCAGTTATATATATGCATAACTTACTATTTTCAAAAATTTTTTATAGAAGATACCATGATTTAAGTAAATTTGACTTGATGTCTGAGAATGACAAGCGAAAGACTGGGAAATTAACGTCGATTGAACACAAATGCAATGGCATCGTACAGGACAATTAGGTTTGTACCCATTGAAATACGACGCAAGGCATCAATCGAAATGATGTAGAACTAGTCAAAATACTGATATAAATTTGATTTTTGACAATGATCAAAGTCATAAAAAGCTTCTAATTCATTCGCATAAACCAATCGTTTGAATGCAATGAATCATATTGTTTGCCTTATCGAGATACTCCCATTCTCAAGAAGTTTTTCTTTCAAAATTTTATTGAGACAAGAAAATCATTTAAAAGATAAAAATCACAATTTTATAAAGTAAAGAAGGAAGCTGTCAAATTAGATTAGAAGAGAAATGTTTGAAACTCTATTTCAGGTTTTCAAAAATAGAACATAAGTGTTTCATTTTTTTGTGAATCACTCGTTAGATAATGAATACAAAGCAATTTTTTTGTTCTAGTGTAGTAGTCATGGTATTCAGTGATCATGAGGTTCTGCATGTCGTCCATGACATCCTGATCCATGTTTATGGCCATGTTTCGATCGATTTGCCTCCCATTTATCACGCTTGCTACGCTTCACTTTTTCAACGAGTAACCAAGCCTGCTCAGCGTCGATCGTGTCTGTGGCAGCATGAGTGACCTTGAAATCATTGAGAAACTCCTGATGCAGTTCATTGTTAATACGGTTACGGTTTTCCTTGAAGTGATCCGAAGTACGTATATCATCATGAGTTGAGCCATGATCACATGGTGGATGTGAGTGATGCTCGTGATGATGTTCCTGACGTCGTTCTTTCCTCTTGCCATGCCAGAGTTCGCTCACTGTCAAATACAATTCCCACGCCTTCTCGGCTGATATGTGAGTATTGCTATACTGCTTATGATACTCATCCATGAAATTCTGTTTGAACTCAGCATTCCACTTCTGACGTTGTTCTTCTGATGGAGGTCCATGTCTACCAGATCCACTGCAGTGTTCTTTCTTGGCTTCATCACTTGACGACATTAATGATTTGTTTAAATGTGTATTGCACTTCTTCCTTTAGACAATAAATATTCTCTACAACTAAATGCATGTATTTATAGGATAACGATTGATTCATTGAAGTCATGCGTTGCAAGGTCATAAAAAAGTACATTTTTTTTCTCAAATGAGACGATGAATAATGTTTTATACTAGAGAAATAAAAGAAATAAATAAAAAATAAAAAGTTATCCGCTGTTCTAGGCAGAACGAGAAGAAAAGAATGACGCAATTGTCGTTATAATAAAACACACTCTTGAAGAGCATGAATAACAATATTTAGTCATTGTACTTATCGAGAATATTCGTAAATAAATTGCATATAAATCTTACCTTTCATGATTTGAGGTCATTTTAGTAATTAACTTCTAACTTTTAAATGAATACTGATCGAAATATTTTGGTTCAAATTGCTGCATTCCGAGTAAAACGAGAGGATCATTTTTCTGTTACGGGAATGGCGAGTAAATATTCTTACAAGCATAACTAGTGTGATCTGCCGATAGCAAAGACGATTGTTTTGATAATAATAACATGTATCGTTTCCAATCTACAAGGGCACTTCAAATTTTTTTGTTTCCGAACTTTCCAAAAAATTGTAGCCTGAAGGCAACCGTCCTATCACAATTAGGATGAACTATTTTATTTAATGAAATTTAATTAAAAACATTAATTAAATGAGTCACTTAACACTTTATATTAAAATTAATTTTTTTTCTATTTAACATTTAATTTATTAATATTAAGTGATTAAATGATTGACTGGAAGCAAATACTATTTTATTTTGATTTTTCTATCAAAAAAAATTAATTCAAGAAATACTAACAATGGAAGGTGGCTTACTGTAAGTTAAGGAGATTGGCTGTATTCGGGACAAATAAAAGCTCTCACTGCGAAAATGATAAATTCAAAACAATAACGTGATGATGACATATTTAGAACAAGTTACTTAAATTTCAAGATACATATGTAAAAGAAGGTGTGTCATATTACGGATCTAGCGTCCCAAAAAATCTGAATTTAATTTTATTAGGCCGAGAATTATCACTCAGCCCGGATTATTTTTAATAGGTTTATTTTGCATTTTATCACAACTCAATTTTTTCACATCTGCGGTTCTCCTTAAGTATCGAGAAAATTTTCTTATCACCCTTCCATTACGAGTCTTTATAATTCAATAGAGCTACCTTGGAGTGTGGGTATAAGTGTAGATGGAGTGTGAATATGGGTTTTGATGTGAGTGATCACAAGATTGATATATACACCCGACACCCACACCCATATTCGCCCATCGACAAATTATATAAATCTCGAAAGCTACCTTCAATAGGTACCGTCACATAAACTCCATTGGCCTTATTTCTGATTTTAAGTTCATCTTTCCATAAATGTCTTAAGATGACATAGGACATTTTTCGAAGGAAGATTAAACTAAAGATACAAAGAAAAACTATTAGAAGTTATAAACGAATGGTTGGACGCATACCACTTTCAACAACAAGATTAAAAAATTTTTTTTTTTAATCTCTTTTTCTAATGAAGATTCCGAGCAAACGGTGAAGCGTCATCGCATGAGTTTCGTCACAGGTAAAGGATAATAAAATGTGTCAATATATAGTATACTTTACAAATCTTGCAACTAAAGTCAATACTTGTCTTAATCTTAAGGTAGCCTAGCAACAAAATATATAAGAACCGCTATGGATACATTTTTTATGCTTAAGGACGATTTTTCTAATACGAAAGAAATCCAATGGATTGTATGCGGCGTAAAATTACAGATCCAGAAAATTCTACATAGTAAAATACTACTCCACGTCAAAACTTTACGAGGCAAAATGTGGAATGTCTTTTCCCGTTCTGCGGTATTCCATTCACTTCCCATTTTCAAATAATGTCTATTGGTAACGTTTTTAAGCAACAAAATCAATCTAATTTGATGCAAAGGAGATCCCAGGACTCTGAGTAAGAAAGTAATGAAAGTGTTCTTGTTCTATTTATAAAAGTTATTTTTAATAGCTCAGCGACAAGCACCAATATTTGTTGTTAAAAAAATCTATACTTTTTGATTCGGTCAAACAATATACATCAAACCGTTGTTTTTTTGTCATCTTCAATGATTCTTTTTGCACAGGAAAAGAAACGAATGAATAACAACATACAACGTGACTTTCTTTTCTGAGTGCATGTATTGAAAGTGAAAAGCGTTCTGTTCATGAACACACATTGATTCATTGAAAGTCTATCAGTGATATTTCATAGAGTTAATTAAATTCATATTGATGACTTACATTTAAAGATGTTCTCGCTTAAAAGTCTGAGATAAATATATTCTATTATTATCGAGTTATATGAAAAAGATTTTGTTATTCAAACGTTTATTGAAAGCAATAATAAGTGTTCGTTGATACTTCGTTTCTCATAATTGATATCATCTGTTGAGAAAAAAAGCGAGAGTTGCTCATCTTTGTCTTTATTTATGGTCGAATTCATTAGAGATTTGAACTATGTTCAACATATTTATGCCTCTTTTCCGCACTGCCTTGTTTTTTCTCCAAACGGCCCCACTTGCAAACAATTTTGATCATACTACAGTTTACTCGTGATAACTCGTTTATCTTTTGATAAGAGCTGGTAAAAGAGACAAACAAGGGGAGTGTTCTTACTTAGTTGAATCATTTTTCATTGCCTTAATCAACTCTTTCAAAACATCTCATTGATCTTCGCTTAGTTTGATAAAGTAAGTCAATCTTGTTCTAGCATAATTTTATTTTTATATCAGATAATGTCATTATTCATGTCATTTACAGAGACTTTTTATCTGTTATTCTCAGGAACATTTACAAGCCGACATGAAAATATGAATCGTCCGGATAAGACAATAAATAGATTAATATCGATGAGCGATGTATATGGATGACTTGGAAGAGAATAGTGCACTATAGTATAATAGAAGAAAAGCTATTATTTCAATGTTATGGAGAAGAGAAGATGACTGACGAGTGAAGGTCTCCAACCGTTCAATCGCTTTTGAGCCGAGACTATGTGCATTATGTAGACCCAAATGAGTTTAGGTCGTTGAAAAAATGAATTATCTTATTAGTCAAATAATAACTTTCTTGTTTGTTTGGAATATGTCTTGTCATACGGTGTGCATCAATAAAAAAGTTCTTGGAAAAAAATGAAAATTTTTCGAACTCTTGAATAGATGAATATTCTTTCATTGTTAAATCAAATATTCAAAATCCACGTATTTCTTTGTCATTCAAGCGAAGAAAATTGAGATCATTCTTCTAGATCAAAGCAGTTCGGATTTGAACTTATTTGGAGAGGAAAGAATTCTATAGCAATTAAGATTAGAAAAATATTAGATTGACATAATAAACTCTTTTTCATTTGTGGATGTAAACCAATTCGAAAGATTTTATTAGATTTATTGATTATATGTTTGTGACAATGTAATTCGATTGTTGTGTGAAATAATTCGAATTCTTGTAATCATTAGCTACATTTTCTATTCAAAACTAGATATTTAGATTCTAATTTATCGTTAAAGTTAAATAAATGTTGTTAAAAGATTTTCGAACAAATCTTGATTAATGAATATTTACTTTTGAACTTAGTTTTCTTGATGATATGGAGAAAAGTAAAAGAGATTTTATTGATAAATGAATGAAAAAATGAGATTCGTTTCATTATTGAAAAATATCTTTGATGAATTTGTAAAAATCTTTTCTCTGTGACTTCACTAATCTTCATCTTCGGTCGGTTATGGTACAAGTTCAAGTGGATGTTCATGTCCTTTCTTTTCACATGTCGAACATGGATCATGATTATCACATGTAGAACAGCGATATCTTTGACCAATAATAGGATTCATGCTACATCCATTACATGACACATCATCCCATTCAAATTCATCTGCCGTACGAGGAGCTACTGTTTCTCCTTGTATCCATGTTTTCAAAGCTTCTATACCTTTACGTGTAACATCATCAACACCACGACGTGATAGAACTTTTCCATCTGATGAAACAATGTAAAATCTTGGAATATCTTCAAAGAAAAGAATAATAATTATTATGTAATATTAAGAAATTAAACAGACACTTACAACAAGATTGAAAATATGTGTGGAGAAGATGACTTGAGCCTAACGGGATAGCAGGCCAAGGCATTTTCGAACGATATTCATGGAATGATTGTTTATCGTAATCAGATGACACACGAACTATACGAAAAGGTAGAGAATTTGCTTGTGCTTCTTTATAAACTTCTATTCATTTTGGTGTAAAAACACGACAAGGTTCACACCAGTGAGAAGAAAAATAAAATCCAATACATTTAACACCATTTTCCCATATTGTTTTTGTTTCAATTTTTTCTTCACTATTAGGATTAAGTAAATGAGAAACTGTTTTGAAAAGTTGTTCGAATGAATATTGTCGTTTAGGTATTAAATATTCAATGATAGGATGTTCATGTTTAGTTTTTGGTAGGCATGTTTCACATAAATCTAAATAACACTCTTCTTTCTCTATACAACCATGTCGTGAACCAATGATTGGACTCATATAACATTGATGACAAATAATTCCATCCCAAACATATTCATCATCACGTGGTTCACGTGACCGAAATAAACGTTTTCCTTTAGATCAATAACGTATAGCTCCACCATTATATACCCCACGTATATAATCGACACCATCAAAATCAAATACCTCACGTATAGAAGAAAGCATGGTTAAAGTTGGAATATCTTTAACATGAAACTTGTCATGCAATGTTTTTGCACGATCTCGATCTAAATAAATACAATCTTATTGAGACTTTCTGCTTGATTTACAATGTTCTTTACATTCTTAAAATTTGAAAAAAAACAAGATTTTTATTGATTACTCTGAGTTTCATTGGACATAGTAAAATTGTTTTTTTAAATATTCACTCCAAATATCTTCTCATGATTTGAATGGAAGAAATATATTTAACATACCAGAGAAAGGTAATGCTTTCCAAGGCATTTTCTTGAAATGTTCATCAAAAGTAGCTTGATCTTCGTCATATGAAATATAAACAATTTCTAATTTCTCCTCTATTTCATCATTACTATTAAATCCTTTATAATATGCAGCTAATTTTGGTGTAAAATTTCGACAAGCAGAAGACGAATAAGTTCTAGAGAAAAAAAATCAAAATATGTTTCTTTCAATAGTTTAATAATAAACAGACGCGAAATAAAGTCCGACGCCTTTTCCATTAAGTTCATTAATTGATATTTGATTTAATTCATTGTTAGATTCGTTGTGTTCAAGGAGCTGTTCGCCTAACAATTCATTTAAGGTTGTTGTTCTGAGCATAGTAGTAATCTGGATCAATCTCTCCATGGTTGTTGTTATGATCTAGAATAAATTTGTAATGTAAACACAATATTGCCTTGTTTTATAGCTAAGAAAAAAAAAAGGAAGGGGTGAAGGAGCAGTCAGTTACTAGGCGATTGTGAAGTACAACATGGAATATGCTATGATTCTTTCTTTCTTTTCATATCGTCCATAGGTTATAGGCGACGCGCCATTGATGCGAGAGGAAGCAATTACTTCTCCTACAAAAAATGAGGGATAGCAATTAAAAGTTATCGCTTCTCCTGATATTCCATATTCTACTAATTGTGAGAGAATGTTTACGCAGTGTGACACTTGCTTTATTTTTTCCTGATGCTGCACTTTCATTAATGAGCAACGCACCAGCACGACAAGGGGCAGCAATTGATTCCCCGACAACAAATTTGAGGAATAAATAAAAATAATCGATTGCTTCCAAAATTGTTTATGCTTTCTTTACCTACTACAGTGCAACTACAGGATTGAAAATACAAATTTTTCAGAGAGGTAGTACTGTGATTTCAAATAACATTAATAACAAGTTTTATACCAAATTAAAGCACATCGAAAATGGGATTTATCAATACTAAATAATAAATGTTGTAGCAAATTTTCAGTGTCGAATTCAAGAAATTCCTAAAATTTTGCGTCATAGTGGCAGAGAAAACATTCTTTCATGAGATATAGTTCAAACTAGATCTTATTTATTATGAAAAATATCACAAAGTAATATTTATTTTTTAAGATTTAATGAATATAATTAATAATCAGTAGGACAAACATTAGCTATCGTTATGGCACGAAAATAAGTCGGATACGAACATAAAATAATTTCAAATAGACCAATATTTGTTTCTATGTTTGTCAAATCTTTTTTCAGAGTTTCTTGCTATAACATTTACTATTTAGTACTAATAAATCCCATTTTCGACGCGCTCTAATTTGGTATAAAATCTGCTATTGATACTATTTGACATGACAGCGTTATCTTCCTAAAAAAATATTATTTTCGACCCTGTATATTACGCCTCTATATTTTTCGAACTCTTGATCATCAGCTGATTTAAATTTCTACTTCTTTCTGCTACCGTTTTTCAACTAATTCTTACGTCTAGAATTTCACATGAGTATCGAGTCGAAAACGTAATAACCAGTGAGCAGTAGATAGTGACAAAAAGAGCTTGAGTTTTTGCTAATTCATTTTTGCAGGTTTTTGTATAGTTAGTGACATAGGCGACGGAGCACCGTCAATTTAGGGGAGGCTCAAAAACAAATTTCAAATGATGATAAGAGAACGAAAAAAAGATAGTAGTTAACTTTTAGAATTCTTAAGGTTTTCCTAGAAATCTTTTTAGAGTATTATTAAAACTGTTTTTCTTAATTTTATGATAAACAGAACTTCTACAAGCAGAGTGTCGGATAGAATAATTGGAAAGATCATCAGTTCTTCGGCGATTTTCGACGAAACATCACGATTGCCTCAATGACGAGGGAACTAAGCGTTGCTTGGAGAAAACTTTGATTTAATGTGTAGGAAACTAGAAAGGTATGGATGATACTGTTTAGTGAAAAGTTACATATTAAAAGATTTTAAGCAATATTTCTTATCCAATATGGCGTTGCGATACCACAACACTTCTTAGTGTTTTGTAAGAAATTACCCCGTTGGACACGTAACGAAATATCGACATTTTTGTGCATAAAATATGCACATTTTAACGCGTAAAACAATACTTTTTTTGAATGAGAAAGGTAAACTAATCAAAGTGAATACTTTCAAACTTGTTTGTCTTGAAAAAAACCCTTTTTTAATGCTTTAAAAAGTGTATCTTCGCACGACGAACGATCCACTTTTTTGTTTCTTGGCTGAGTAGCAAAAAAATAAAAAATCAATGAATTTTATTTGTGATAACAATTGCCGCCGAAGGCGGCTAAATTTTCAATCTTTTTCTGGAAAAAAAACCTATTTATTCAGTTTTTCATCACGTTATTGGAGACTCTTCAAGAAATATAGGCAAAATTCAGCCTCTCCAAGCATAATGGTTCCGCCGCCTATGGTTACTGAACGTGAGTCCAATTTATTGGGTAGAAACATTAACCACAGAATACAGGTTGCAGAAGAATAGCTCAAGAGAACAATAAAGAAACGGATAGAAAACACAAGAATGAATATGAGAAGAGTGAACAAAGGAATGGCCACCTAGACATATATAGGGTGTTAAAAAACCTTTACGCCCCCTAAGTTCGCCCTTGGGGTAAAATGATTCCACTAAGTATTTTATACCAAATTGAAGCCCGTAAAAAACTGCATCTATTGGTACTAAATAGTAATGGTTATGAAGACGTTTTAATGTCGAACTTATGAGATTTTCAGAAATTTGATATCTTTTTTGGTGTAGAAAAGTAAGGTGCCAGTAATTCAAATACGACATAAAACATTTTTCTTAGATATTTTTACATGATTCGATAGAGCTCGACGAGCTCTACAAAACTATATATTTCAAAAATACTTTGAGCCATCTTTTTGTGATAAAAAGTTCAAAAACTGCTTGAAAAACCAAAAAAATATTTGAAAACTTTACTTTTTCATATGGAAGAAAAACATATCCCAAGAGATTCAATCCGACCTGTAGATCTTACCGGAAACCATCGGATCCAAGATGGATTGCATCGAAATCCGACGTCTTCCGTTAAAACCAATCGGATCCGCTGCAGTTTTCGTCGGATTCCTGGGCACAGGATTCCGGGCCGGATTAAGTCGGAAAGAATACGGTCGGATTCTTTCGAAACCGATGATCGGACCACATCGCATCCGCACAGAACTGCCCTTCGTAAAAACCAAGATATTTCCAGATGATCCCCTCCGACCGATGTATCTTACCGGAAACCGTCGGATTCAATACCAGATTGCTCCAGACAATGACGCCTTCCGTTAAAAATCCTTCGGATGGCGTCGCATCCGCTCAGAACTGCCCTTTCAAAAATCCGATATTGCCAGATTCTAGAGAGGATAGAGTACGATTTCATCAGATTCCGCCAGCACGATACCGAATCGGATTATGCCGGAAGAGATCCTGCGCAATCATTTCTTATCCAACAATCGGATGACATCAGATTCACACCAGATATCACCACCCCAAATAAATCCGATCGGATACGGGTAATTCCGCTGTTCTCCGACCAGTAACCCATTGGAAAAAAATTGCCAGAGATCCGATCATCGGCTCCCAACGGATGTACTAATTTCCCATCAGATTCAGTGAAATTCTACCGAATTCCGAAGCAGAACGATCTATTCCGGATAGGAATCCGACAACCGGATGGTCCTCATTATTACAAATCCTAGCTTTCAGAGAATTCAGAAGACGCCGGAAACCTGTATTTCCGATGCAATATACAAGAAGCGGAGATCTATTCCGATTGACAATGTTGCCTCGCAAACGACCAATAACCGATTTCTATGTATAACACATTTATTATAACAAAAACGGAGCAGAATTCATTCGCACCTTTTCTCGAAAACAATCCATTCCGCGTAAACAGAAAAGACATCAATAAGCTAATTCAACAGACAAACCCCACTACAATGGCACAATTCCTCGTGGATGAACACGACATTACAAGATGTTCACTAATAAAATATTAAACAACACCATCTAGAAACGAATCTCAAATTTAACCGAGAATAAAACAAAATATGATCGCCATACAATCTAAATGATAATTCAACGAAAAAAAAATTCTGTCACTCTCAGAGTGAATACAAGCGAAAGTGAGCAGAACTTGCTCACTATTGAAACAATTACAATAGGCCATGTCCAAGCGAATGTGTGATTCGATGGAAATGATAGAAAAATATGATTTTTATATGATCGCAACAGTAATTAACACCAAAAAAAATTCTCATGAATATGAAAATGAATTTAAGCAAAAGTGAGCATGTCATGCTCACTTTCTGAAGAATTCAACTAGGCCATGCCCAAGTAAATGTTTGAGTTCCCAAAAAAAAGAAACATATAATCTTAATATCATCTTCAAGGGAACCGTAATTGAAAAAATGTTTCCATCAATGTGAGAATGAATTTGAGCAAAAGCGAGCATGATATGCTCACTTTTGAAACAATTCAAGCAGGACATGTTCAAGTTAATCGTTGACTCGATGAAACAGATAGTAAAAGACGATGTTTTTATCATCCGAAAGATAATCCCAACCGAAAAAAATTTCCACCTATGTGAGAATTAGAAGTGAGCAAAGATGATCATACTACTCTCACTATTCAAAGAGATCACCTAAATCATGTCGAAGTGAATATTTGAGTCCATAAAAAGGATAGAAAATTAGAACCTTTGTTTTGTCTGCAAGATAGCGCTAATAAAAAAAATCTCCACCAACATGACAATGAATTTGAGCAAAAATCAACATCATATGCTTAGTTTTGAAACAATTACACTAGACCGTGCCAAAGTGAATGTTTGATTCGGCGTAAAAGATAGAAAAATATGATCTTGACATAACTCACTTTTGGAAAAATTCAATTGGACATCTCTAAATGAATGTTTGTGTCCACAAAAAAGATAGAAAGATACTATCTTTATATCATCTTAAAGATAATCCTAATCGAAAAAAATTTTCAAGAATATTAGAATGAATCTGAGCAAAAGTGAGTATGCCATGCTCACTTTGCAAACGATTACACTAGACCATGTGCAAGTGAATGTCCGATTTCACGAAAAATGTTTTAAAAAAATGATCTTTGTATGACACCAAAGATCAGCGAGGCGAAAAAAAATTTCATGTATGTGAAAATCAAAAATGGACAAAAGCGAGCCTAACGTGCTCATTATTGAAATAGTTCTTACAGGCAATGGCTAAGTGAATGTCTAATTCGAAGAAAAATATAGAAAAATATGATGTTGATATGATCTCAAAGATCATGTAAACCGCAGAAAATTTCTATTCGTGTAAAAATCGAAGGTGA